GAGGGGTGGGCATATTTCACAGAAAATCTCTTCAACGGAGGAAGTGCCCTCATCTCCGGTGTCGGTGGTCTGGTCCTCTCAGGGCAAAATCAGGGAATGAAACACACTCGCTTACTTCGCCAATGGCGCAGACTGAGTGGCTCAGATTTAACGCACTTCTAAATTACAATTGCTTTTCAAAAGTGAAATCGTGTACATGGTGTATCCCAAGGGGATACCCAAGCCTAAATCTAAGATTACCAAACTAAATATTCAGATTCTCTGCCGACAAAGGATGGTGCTGCGTCAAGGTTCCCTGATGATGACGATGCAGCCAGTGAACGTGAAGACCTGGACCGAACTCATGTGGATGCAGTGGTGATTACGGTATGTCAACATTATTTTCGCCAATTTTGCTCAAATTCTCGGTTTTTGGGGTAGCCAAAACAAGGCTCTCAGTTTCTGAGTGCTTTCGAGCATCTGCTTATTCGTTAGGCGTAACTGATTTTGTTTGCTTTCTCTGGACTTGACAGGCGCGGAAAGGTCCACTGCGCCTGGTGAAATTCGACGGCCCGTCTGTTTGCTTGAGCCTTCTTAGCGAGCTCTTTGGGAATCTTTGGATGAGACCTTCAAAGAATCCAGCCGGTATTTAGCAACTTGTTTCCTTGTTTCGTTCATGGGAGTCGATTGGAGCGCAGTCTAGGCTACCTTTTCCACCAGTGCGGTTCACGATGACGACAGTTCGTGGAAAGCTTGCCCTAGTTGCGCTCCATTCCGTGGAGCCCCACATCCTTCCTCCCTTCATCATTAGAGCGCGTCTTTCTCCTGTAGACTCTAAGAGCCAGTAAAGATTGTACAACGATCATAGGTGTCCGCCCATCGGTTACCGTGGAATATTCCCTCTAATGACGGGTTTTCTTTTCTTTGAAGCATTTAGCCAATTTTTTATTCCAGAAAAATCACCCTGAGTCTGCGAAATCTGCTCCGCAATTAACTGAAGACGAAACGCCAATAGAAACAGCTTTCGTGGACGCAATCCGGGAACGTCGACGAAGTAGCGTGCCTCCGATTGCCGATGGTATCCTAACTCCACCAACTCCACCGCCAACCACCCCTGCCCAATCTGGTGCCGTGAGAAAAGGTAAGGAGGCTCATCCTGCTCTACTTTTTAGTTCTTTTTTCCAATAGTTGGCTTATTATGTCTTTGACGCTACTGTACTTGAGGGGACAAGGCTGCGGCAGGGCTCGCCTTACGCTGAGGAATCCCCAACAGAGGGTCGTATTTAGTCGTTGGATGCTGGAGGGGGTGAGCTTGAAAAAACCTCTAGTACTCGATTTTTCGTGTTTCGAGCGCGCTATCCACATTGTTAAGAGAGTCCCATAAGGGGAGGGGGGTCGTATTTGCCCATCGCTTCGTGAGGAACGGAGGGAAGGGGCGGTCGTCGAGAAAATGTTCCTGATTGTTGAGTCTTCCCGCGTGTCAGTAAACGAAATTAGTTATTGTTTGATGCCAACCCGCCCCTCCCCTTCCGCTCGACGGCCAGTTTTTGAGGACAAAAAGTGGTAGGAACCTGAAAAAATTAGAAAGAGGGTGGGTAATGTGGGGCATGGGAAGTGGAGGCGTGTCAGAGGGGTACATTGGAGGGAAGTAGTACCAGAAGAAGAAATTTTTTGGAGGGGAGGGGAGAGTCGTGCTTTGTTCCCAGCGACAGAATGTACCCTAGTATGGAGTTTGCTCG